TCAGGGTCAGGGTAAGGGTTAGGGTCAGGGTAAGGGTTAGGGTTAGGGTCAGGCATGTGTTGGTTATGGTTAAGGTTAGGATAAGTCTCCAGGAAATGCATGTAAGTCAATGTAATGTCCCCCAAAGTGATGTATACATGGTGTGTGTGTGTGTGTGTGTGTGTGTGTGTGTGTGTGTGTGTGTGTGTGTGTGTGTACAGAGAGCTACCAGTCACTTTTTTCTTGCTGTTTCTCAGAATGCATGCTTTTATCAAACTTACAAAGAGGCAGACAGAGTTAGAGCTCCGCTTGAGGACAGACTGTTAAATAATGCAGCTGGTTAAGTTAGCTTGTCGGGACGAATTGTAAAAAAAAAAGCCCCTGCTTCACTGAGTCTTGAGCCTGTTAGAGAGAGAAAGGTGGGGCTGCGTGACTTTCAGCTCTCCTGAGTCCTGATCACACACACACGGGTCGAATACATAACATGGCAGGGAACGTGAGTGTGTGTGTGTGTGTGTGGCCTAGCATTACTATACTTGTGGGGACCTAAATCTGTTTACACAGTCACGTGTGGGGACTCGCCTCCCTTATGGGGACAAAATGGGGAATCATTAATTTTAGGGTGAAGACTTGGTTAGGGTTAGGTTTAGGGTTAGGTTTAGGCATGTGTTGGTTATGGTTAAGGTTAGGATAAGTCTCCAGGAAATGCATGTAAGTCAATGTAATGTCCCCTGAAGTGATGTATACATGGTATGTGTGTGCGTGCGTGTGTGTGTGTGTGTGTGTGTGAGTGAGGATGTGTGTGTGTGTGCGTGTGTGAGTGAGTGTGTGTCGGGGGCATCTATAATGTGCAAGCCAGACAGGCCCCCTCTCACTGGGGGTTTATATATCAATCTAACAGCCAGCCATTCTTTTTCTCCATCGTTATGACATCTTTATGGCCCTATACTGTCACTAACAATGTAGCAGCAGGATATGGATAGGGTTATTAAAAAGAATGAGACATGTTCCCACATCATTTAATGGCAGTGCAGAGGACAAATTACTGTCTTAGTCCAGAGATGAAGATGTGACCAGCATCTGATACTCAAACAGTTGGCTTCTCTCAGCAGCAGAGTGCAGGTCTGCCCTCTGCTGCTGAGAGAGACAAACTGCATTCAAGATGCAAGGCTTTTATTGTCATGTGTACGTACTGTAGCTACAGAGTAGTTATGACAAGGAACATTTTAGGTCCCAGGCTCCTCGCAACAGTGCAACACAATAAAACAGATCAAATAAGTAAATAAAATAAAATAGAATATTGTCTTACTAGGCATTATGTATAGTACAGTATTTCATACACAAGGGACATCCTAAACAAATATAACACCAGAAACTCATTGCCGGTAAGAAACTCTTATTAACTTTGATGTGACTACAGGGGGGGGGTGATGCATGGGCACATCAGGAGGAAATGGGACCCTGCGGCCCAGAACACTCTCCTAAGTAGGAAGAACACACACACACATACACACACACACACACACTTAATGGTAGTCATTACGCATATAAGTATTGTCTCTGTGTAGGGATTGTTTCTCTTTATAGTCATTTTAGGTCTCATTGCACTTGTTTTCTGTCTCTTTGCAGTTATTCTGTGTCTTAATGTATAGTTTTTTTGTGTCTGAAGTCTTTTGTCTTGATTTGAATGTCTTTGCAGATGCTTTGTGTCTGTAATCATTTTGCGTGTCTTGTGCCAGTGTTTGGAGACGTTCTAAGTCTCTTTGCAGATGCTTTGTGTCTCTGTAATCATAGAGACGTTCTAAGTCTCTTTGCAGATGCTTTGTGTCTCTGTAATCAAAGAGACGTTCTAAGTCTCTTTGCAGATGCTTTGTGTCTCTAATCATAGAGACGTTCTAAGTCTCTTTGCAGATGCTTTGTGTCTCTAATCATAGAGACGTTCTAAGTCTCTTTGCAGATGCTTTGTGTCTCTGTAATCAAAGAGACGTTCTAAGTCTCTTTGCAGATGCTTTGTGTCTCTAATCATAGAGACGTTCTAAGTCTCTTTGCAGATGCTTTGTGTCTCTGTAATCATAGAGACGTTCTAAGTCTCTTTGCAGATGCTTCGTGTCTCTGTAATCATAGAGACGTTCTAAGTCTCTTTGCAGATGCTTTGTGTCTCTAATCATAGAGACGTTCTAAGTCTCTTTGCAGATGCTTTGTGTCTCTGTAATCATAGAGACGTTCTAAGTCTCTTTGAATTGCGTCGAGTTGTTTTGCATCCGTCTGTTGTGGTTTTAGTCTTCTTTTGTGTGTCTCTGTAGTTGTTAGTTTCTTGCAGAGTTAGTAATCCATCCATGAGATGAGATGGGAACGCTCACTGGGAAACTGACACAGGGATCCAAACACATAAATCAAACAGCAGGTGGTCTATAATTATCAATGTGATGCAACAACAATATGTTCCCTGTTCTAAATATCTGCAGCCAGTGTGTCGTCAATGTTTTGTTAAACAATTACATAATTATACCAAAAGAGTCCATTTATTATTCATGAATATATATATTTTATTTCTGTATAACGCTGGTAGATTAAAACGCACATTAAATGAGAATCTGATAACCTTGAACACAACGCTGTTACGCTGCAATGAAACAGAACCGCCTGCAACATGAACGAGTTCATAAATACAACAAGAGCTATTTATTTTTTACATTTCAGTAGACCAACCTTTAACCCTTAACTACCTCCACTGTCACTGAAAGAAGTGTGGCTGATTGTCCTGCTGTTACTAAGGCCTGTTGATACGAATCTGTACATATAAACTAAGTTAAATCATACTCTTCATCCATAGAAAAATAATTACAAATCTATAAATTATAACTAAACATGATTATAACTCCAAAAAGCAACCCAAAAAAAAGACATGAAGTGATTGGTGATATCAATGGTATGGATGTTAGCAGAGAGGATGATATTATTGCTTTGGTGCCACGGAGAAGGGAAGAATTGTCCATGTGAAGACGACAAGGTGAGGAGGCCAACTCTTATCTCTACACTTATTCCCTTATGGACTTCCTGTGGGCTTATCTTAAATACACAGTGATGCCTTGTTAGTTCTCAGGAAGACGTAAAGACCCCCTCATCCCCCTCAACCGTCCTCTCTCTCTCTCTCTCTCTCTCTCTTTCTCGCTGGTGTGTTGTCGTCAGAAGCCGAAGTTATCGTCCCCGAATGGGCTGAGGTTGTTGGGAATGTTTCCATTGGTTCTGTCCCAGTCGGGTTCAGAGAACAGATCCTGGGGGTTCACCCCAATGTCCAGGACCTGGGGGTTAGTACGCGACACTGCCAGTCTGAGGAGGAACACATCAGGGAATGAATACGGGACCTTTGTTCCACTTTGTTAAAGGTCACCTATTATGGAAAATACACTTCTTCATGTCTCTTCTACATCAACATGTGTCCCCTCTTCTTCATGTCTCTTCTACATCAACATGTGTCCCCTCTTCTTCATGTCTCTTCTACATCAACATGTGTCCCCTCTTCTTCATGTCTCTTCTTCATCAACATGTGTCCCCTCTTCTTCATGTCTCTTCTACATCAACACGTGTCCCCTCTTCTTCATGTCTCTTCTACATCAACATGTGTCGCCTCTTGTTCATGTCTCTTCTACATCACCATGTGTCCCCTCTTCTTCATGTCTCTTCTACATCAACATGCGTTCCCTCTTCTACATCAACATGTGTCCCCTCTTCTTCATGTCTCTTCTACATCAACATGTGTCCCCTCTTCTTCATGTCTCTTCTACATCAACATGTGTCCCCCTCTTCTTCATGTCTCTTCTACATCAACACGTGTCCCCTCTTCTTCATGTCCTCTTCTACATCAACATGTGTCCCCTCTTCTTCATGGCTCGTTCGACATCAACATGTGTCCCCCTCTTCTTCATGATCTCTCTTACATCACATGTGTCCCTCTTCTTCATGTCGCTGCCTACATCAACATGTTCCCCTTCTTCTTCATGTCTCTTCTACATCAACATGCGTTCCCTCTTCTACATCAACATGTGTCCCCTCTTCTTCATGTCTCTTCTACATCAACATGTGTCCCCTCTTCTTTCATGTCTCTTCTACATCAACATGTGTCCCCTCTTCTTCATGTCTCTTCTACATCAACATGTGTCCCCTCTTCTTCATGTCTCTTCTACATCAACATGTGTCCCCTCTTCTTCATGTCTGTTCTACATCAACATGCGTTCCCTCTTCTACATCAACATGTGTCCCCTCTTCTTCATGTCTCTTCTACATCAACATGTGTCCCCTCTTCTTCATGTCTCTTCTACATCAACATGTGTCCCCTCTTCCTCATGTCTCTTCTACATCAACATGTGTCCCCTCTTCTTCATGTCTCTTCTACATCAACATGTGTCCCCTCTTCCTCATGTCTCTTCTACATCAACATGTGTCCCCTCTTCTTCATGTCTCTTCTACATCAACATGTGTCCCCTCTTCCTCATGTCTCTTCTACATCAACATGTGTCCCCTCTTCTTCATGGTCTCTTCTACATCAACATGTGTCCCCTCTTCCTCATGTCTCTTCTACATCAACATGTGTCCCCTCTTCTTCATGTCTCTTCTACATCAACATGTGTCCCCTCTTCTTCATGTCTCTTCTACATCAATATGTGTCCCCTCTTCTTCATGTCTCTTCTACATCAACATGTGTCCCCTCTTCTTCATGTCTCTTCTACATCAACATGTGTCCCCTCTTCCTCATGTCTCTTCTACATCAACATGTGTCCCCTCTTCTTCATGTCTTCTCTACATCAACATGTGTCCCCTCTTCTTCATGTCTTCTCTACATCAACATGTGTCCCCTCTTCTTCATGTCTCTTCTACATCAACATGTGTCCCCTCTTCTTCATGTCTCTTCTACATCAACATGTGTCCCCTCTTCTTCATGTCTCTTCTACCAGCAACATGTGTCCCCTTCTTCTTCATGTCTTCTCTACATCAACCATGTGTCCCCTCTTCTTCATGTCTTCTCTACATCAACATGTGTCCCCTCTTCTTCATGTCTCTTCTACATCAACATGTGTCCCCTCTTCTTCAATGTCTTCTCTACATCAACATGTGGCCCCTCTTCTTCATTCTTCTCTACATCAACATGTGTCCCCTCTTCTTCATGTCTTCTCTACAGTCAACATGTGTCCCTCTTCTTCATGTCTCTTCTACATCAACATGTGTCCCCTCTTCTTCATGTCTTCTCTACAATCAACATGTGTCCCCTCTTCTTCATGTCTCTTCTACATCAACATGTGTCCCCGTCTTCTTCATGTCTCTTCTACATCAACATTTCCCCTCTTCTTCATGTCTCTTCTACATCAACATGTTCCCCTCTTCCTGTCCCCTCTTCTTCATGTCTTCTCTACATCAACACTGTGTCCCCTCTTCTTCATGTCTCTTGTACATCAACATGTCCCCTCTTCTTCATGTCTTCTCTACATCAACATGTGTCCCCTCTTCTTCATGTCTTCTCTACATCAACATGTGTCCCCTCTTCTTCATGTCTCTTCTACATCAACATGCGTTCCCTCTTCTTCATGTCTTCTCTACATCAACATGTGTCCCCTCTTCTTCATGTCTTCTCTACATCAACATGTGTCCCCTCTTCTTCATGTCTTCTCTACATCAACATGTGTCCCCTCTTCTTCATGTCTCTTCTACATCAACATGTGTCCCCTCTTCTTCATGTCTCTTCTACATCAACATGTGTCCCCTCTTCTTCATGTCTTTTCTACATCAACATGTGTCCCCTCTCTCTTCATGTCTCTTCTACATCAACATGTGTCCCCTCTTCTTCATGTCTTCTCTACATCACATGTGTCCCCTCTTCTTCATGTCTCTTCTACATCAACATGTGTCCCCTCTTCTTCATGTCTCTTCTACATCAACATGTGTCCCCTCTTCTTCATGTCTTCTCTACATCAACATGTGTCCCCTCTTCTTCATGTCTCTTCTACATCAACATGTGTCCCCTCTACATCAACATGTGTCCCCTCTTCATGTCTCTACTCACATCAAATGTGTCCCCTCTTCTTCATGTCTTCTCTACATCAACATGTGTCCCCTCTTCTTCATGTCTTCTACATAACATGTGTCCCCTCTTCTTCATGTCTCTTCTACATCAACATGTGTCCCCTCTTCTTCATGTCTCTCTACATCAACAGTGTCCCTCTTCTTCATGTCTTCCTACTTCAACATGTGTCCCCTCTTCTTCATGTCTTCTCTACTTCAAACATGTTCCCCTCTTCTTCATGTTCTCTCATCAACATGTGTCCCCCTCTTCTTCATGTCTCTTTCTACATCAACATGTGTCCCCTCTTCTTCAGTCTCTTCTACATCAACATGTGTCCCCTCTTCTTCATGTCTCTTCTACATCAAATGTCCCCTCTTCTTCATGTCTCTTCTACATCAACATGTGTCCCCTCTTCTTCATGTCTCTTCTACATCAACATGTGTCCCCTCTTCTTCATGTCTTCTCTACATCAACATGTGTCCCCTCTTTTCATGTCTCTTCTACATCAACATGTGTCCCCTCTTCTTCATGTCTCTCTCTACATCAACATGTGTCCCCTCTTCTTCATGTCTTCTCTACATCAACATGTGTCCCTCTTCTTCATGTCTTCTCTACATCAACATGTGTCCCCTCTTCTTCATGTCTCTCTACATCAACCTGTGTCCCCTCTTCTTCATGTCTCTTCTACATCAACATGTGTCCCCTCTTCTTCATGTCTCTTCTACATCAACATGTGTCCCCTCTTCTTCATGTCTCCTCTACATCAACATGTGTCCTCTACATCAACATGTGTCCCCTCTTCTTCATGTCTCCTCTACATCAACATGTGTCCTCTACATCAACATGTGTCCCTCTTCTTCATGTCTCTTCTACATCAACATGTGTCCCCTCTTCCTCATGTCTCTTCTACATCAACATGTGTCCCCTCTTCTTCATGTCTTCTCTACATCAACATGTGTCCCCTCTTCTTCATGTCTTCTACATCAACATGTGTCCCCTCTTCTTCATGTCTTTCTCTACATCAACATGTGTCCCCTCTTCTTCATGTCTCTTCTACATCACATGTGTCCCCTCTTCTTCATGTCTCTTCTACATCAACCTGTGTCCCCTCTTCTTCATGTCTCTTCTACATCAATATGTGTCCCCCTCTTCTTCATGTCTCTTCTACATCAACATGTGTCCCCTCTTCTTCATGTCTCTTCTACATCAACATGTGTCCCCTCTTCTTCATGTCTTCTCTACATCAACATGTGTCCCCTCTTCTTCATGTCTTCTCTACATCAACATGTGTCCCCTCTTCTTCATGTCTCTTCTACATCAACATGTGTCCCCTCTTCTTCATGTCTTCTCTACATCAACATGTGTCCCCTCTTCTTCAGTCTCTCTACATCAACATGTGTCCCCTCTTCTTCATGTCTTCTCTACATCAACATGTGTCCCCTCTTCTTCATGTCTCTTCTACATCAACATGTGTCCCCTCTTCTTCATGTCTTCTCTACATCAACATGTCCCCTCTTCTTCATGTCTCTTCTCCTCAACATGTGTCCCCTCTTCTTCATGTCTCTTTCTACATCAACATGTGTCCCCTCTTCTTCATGTCTCTTCTACATCAATATGTGTC